CCTTTCAAATCTGTCTGCAATTTCAAACCAAAAAATTATTGATAAAAGGTTCCCTCTAGTAATCAAAATTGATTACGTTTAACTCATATAACTGAAATAGTGTTCTTAGTACGTTTCCAATTTCATGGGTACGTCCAATTAATAATGGATTTTAATAAATACAACTATTTTAAGTAACTCTATTCACTAAGCTATATGTCAATATAGTTTAGTTTTTAAGATATCGATCTTTGACTGACTAACACAGTAGAACAATGTTTTCCAATGTTTTTGAGTAAGTCTTTTCACTCTGATATCGATATCTTTGAAGTTAAAAATTTCAAAGATTTATATAAAAATCACCAACAACAAATACAAGTAGACGTTTCGATCCATCTTCGAGTTATTTTGACGACTAAACTATATCTATATAAAACTTACGCGCAAAAATTGAACAAAATAGCTGACTCCATTTACGTATTCAAGGTGTGGACACTTTCTAAACGTTTGACTAAAGTAATATTTCATATCGAATAGACAGCTAATGGAATTTTGTTCCAATCTAAATGTGTTCTATTGACTGTGGAGATATGGCCTTTTGTATTTACAAGCAGTTGTTGGATGCGAATTCCCAATTTAATAACTTTTTTCTGAGATTATTCATTAGTTAGCCATTACAGACGTAAGTCATCCTTGGCCTAACTCTTCGTTTTCATTGGAAAGCTGTTTTTAGATGGTGGATTCCATGCTCGACGCATAACCTTATATATTCATGAGAATAATATCGTTAAACACATTTAGTTCATTACGCTCGGATGATTGTAGCTATCCAGAGGGGGCCACGAAGAGGCTGTGTGTGAACTTGGAGAAACAGTGACAAGATCGCGCTGTCAATTATTTCAATACAAAAACCTTTTTACTAAACAGTTTATATGAGATTTGTGGAGATGTGCTCCCTGATCCATCCACTTATTGATTGCGCCTATGGTTTACCACTAAAATATCAAATCGCCGTATGCGGTAATATGAAATCGCGTTATGCTATTAAAAAAGGACCACGAAATGGATAACCCTTTTATAACAAAAAATACTAATTTATTTGCAGACAAAGTTATGAATAAATTATAAATTAAAAAAAAATGTTTTTGAAAGTTCAGATACCTTTTGGCAAGAATTGTACTATACTTTCGTGTAATTTACTGTAAATATTTCGAACTTTTTTTGTCGAAAATTTCTTCGATTTTAGTTTAACTAACGGCAGCAACGACATTGGGACAAAAATATATAACTAACACAACTGCACACACATATTCAACAAAGGATATATAAATATTTGTACTTAAGCTTCTTATTTGTCTATCAGTAGTCTAAAATGCTAGAATGTACTTTATTGAGCGGTGCTGTGTTCAACCATCCTGTCATTTTGTCGTCCTACAAACGAACTCATTCGCCTCACATGCCGGTGTTCCTTCTGTTTAACTTGAACAAAAAGCGAGCAATCCAAAAACAAATTCAATCAATTTAATTATGACGTCGTCCGTTGTGGTGCACATGAATTACTCAAACTCAAAGGTTCAACTTGCTAGGAGTAGCGAAATAACAATAAACAATGAGGTCATGAGACTACTCGTACTCGTACTCGTCCAATGTACTGCATGATTTAATATATTTACCCACAGAGATAGTGCATGTATACTTATGTAAAGTTTGTATGCACAGACTTGTTTTTTAAAAACTTGATAAAAGCATAAAAGGATCAAAAATCCAAAATGTAGAAGAATATATAAAAAAAACCAACGAATATACGTAAAGTAAATCTTCTTTACATGGCTTTACATGATTTCTACTTTGTTAGCCAACAACACCCCAAAATCATACAGCACGTTCCGGTAGCGTGCAGTTTAGAGGGTGTGGGTCAATCAGAGATGATTACAAACAAATATATTAGACGACCACAATACTACGTCATAGTTTAGTTGCTTTTAAGTTTTAAACGGTGTGAAATTACGTCATTATATTAGAAAAAAATTTAAGAACCAAGAGCACTCCAACCTCGTTAAGAAAAAAAGGGCGTAACCAGCTTTCCCTGTACATTCTTCAATAACGAGTTGTTGATGATGTTCTTTATTTGTCTTTATAAAATTCTATTTGTAGTCAACTTTTTTCCGATATTTCGTTATTTATTCATGTCAATCGTGCATTTCAATTTTAAATAATGTACCGAATTCTTTGCTCAAATCAAATCTATTGCCAAATATTAATTTCGAACGTTTCATAAAAGTAGCGCTGAGGAGGAATTCAGTTGTGCAAATACTGTTACAGTGAATTTTTGGATACCTTTGTTGAAATACATACATAAAATTGCTATATTTAGATATAATACATTATGCATTACTTACTATACATATATTTAATTTCATTCTCAATTTATTTTTCTTTACTTTACATTAGTTTATGTTCTTTGATTAGCGAAATAGATAAAATCTAATTTTAGAAATTTCAAATTCTTGATAAACAATTCCTACTCTAAAAGTAGTTAATATGTGCTTTTGTAGAAGGTCGGTCATTAGTTTTGCTTCTAAATAATTAATATAAAATAAACTCTTACTATTATTATTATCTTTTGGAAATAGTTTAAATATTGCTATCAGCAATGTAATGACATCACAATGGGCAAAGTTTAGTTATGTTGTTATATTATAAAAACAATTATTTAAAAGATAATGTTTTAGAAATTGCAAAGAAGTAGAAGTTGGGTAATACGTTAAGTCAAAGACTGAAAATTTGACACGTTTTGCAACAGGCTTTATTAATATTTTAAAGATCCCATTGCATATAATAATAACATAATAATTGGTACTAAAACTATCTTTGACTTTCTTCAATAAATCGCTTCATCCATATCGTTTGATGCGAGCCGATACTCGTATCATGTGAGTTCTGATCTACGCTATTCTCCTAATGCAAGCACTTGCTTGAAAAAGTGATGTTGTCTCACTGCAACAATGCAATCGAATTGGAAATGAATTCTGTTTATGGTAACCTTGCACAATTGTCCTTTCAAATGGAGGACTTGTATTACTGAATGATATTCATTATTTTTCATTTTTTGCAAAAAGCTAACCAAACATCTGATGAAGTCGAAACGTAATTGATATTGTTTTGACTTTGGCACCTGTTGTGTATTTAAATCACCTAGTGTAAGAGCAGTTTACCTAAGATGACTGTACTCTATTCCCTTTAAATTGAGTGCAGCTGTGACAGAGTCCAGGGTTATTTGATGTATTTATCAGCCTTGCAGGTATAACACCACAATGTATTTAACACACATATGGGTAAAATACACACTTCATCGGAATTCTGCTGGTAGCAATTAAAGTTATTCGTTTAGATATAGTTTCCTCTTTAGAAGCGACCGAGACATATCTTATACCTCTGTTAGACTACATATATTCTTTGATTCACAGCACACGGTTGCAAAATGCAACTCCATATCAAATAAAATTAAATAGATATAATCATTCTACCCACATATATTCGGATTTTAATCCAAATATGATCAATCCATATTGGTCAGGACACACGAAGCTGCGGATCCCAACAGGTTTACACCAATGGTGGAGTGCCGCAAATGAAACTTATTCATTACCAGTGATACTTTAAACATTACAGGGTAGAGTCTAATGGATTTAAGTTGGCTCTTACGACAGGTATGCCTTACGTCGGGAATATTCTAGCCCCTTTTCCGCTGAGAAAAGCAGGTGTAACAGTTAGTTACCTACTCTTCAATAAGCCAAAAGCCAGTATCGGGCGCCAATCTGATTGAGTTCAAAATAACTGTTTTTACTTAAATCCGCTGGCAAGTAGGTGTCCGCTAAATTGGAATCGTGCCGGCAAAAGACGTCAAGTGAAAGATTTTTAGACTTTATTATTAAAAAACTTAAGCAAATCGAGGTGTTTTTTAAAGTTTTGAGCTAAATTTCACGTTAGCTAGACAGTGTTGCAGAAGTCGGAACAAGTAATTATCTGAAGGAGCTATGTTACCACTATATGGTGTATGCATAAAAACTTCTTTCAATCTTTATGGTGTTACCAAAGATTATTTGCATATCCAGTACATTAGTTGTTAAGGATATAAATTTAAGTATATAGTTTAATCAAGTATTCAGGTTTTATTGGATGATCAAATTGCAATTCCATGAAACATATGGCATCAAGTTCCATATATTTTCAAGTTTTCATATAATTTTGTAAGTAATTAAGTTTTTATTCACCAATACCGGATTTGCTACCAGCTAGTAGTTAGTACCATCTATTTTGAATTGAAATCGTTTTTTAACAACATTTTTACATGTAATCGAATTTAGGTTCACTATACACTACAAATGGCTGTTCCAATAGCCATTAAGAAATAAAAATTCATTGCTATAGAAATAATTTTTATAAAATTTTTTTCTGATCAGATAGATATATATAAATGATTAAAATATTTTATGCAGTTGATTATGATAATTATTTCCTCCATAATTTTAAATAGTTTTTTCTATTCTTAACTGTTTCTCAATTATTGCAGAATTACTATAAAAACCTGTTGGCTTTCAATAAATAAATAATAAGAATAAATCTATATATCTTTATTATATATTATTAGACCCTGTGTTACTACTAACTGAAACGATAACCACTTAAAGGACATCAATTATGTAATCTAAAAAGAACCACATTTTCTTACTCATATGAATATAGGTCTATGCTCTACCTAAAACTACAAAATCATAACGCAAAAAAGTGGTTACAATTAATTTCTCGGTTATCTAGTAGACATACATGAATAAAACGACTTATGAATTCAATATTCCAATATATACCAAATTGTATAATTATAATATGGAATATCTATGATTTTAAATGTTCAAATGTTGATTTAAAAAGTAGTAATTTTATTTAGTATAGATAATAAAATAGAAATCATATTATCGTCATATTACTATATGTATATTAATTTTTGTTTTCATTTTTAGGTAATGGAGAAGCGTCTTGGTGCTTCTCACAAATAAAAGGAGCATTAGATGATGATGTAACAGATGCTGATATTATATCATGTGTTGAATTTAATCATGATGGAGAGTTATTGGCGACAGGTGACAAAGGTGGACGTGTAGTAATATTCCAGGTTAAAATCTTAATATTTAAATATAATTAAACATATTTTAATAATTTGATTTATTTTTTGTATATAGCGTGATGCTGCTTCAAAAACAGCAATTCCTCGACGTGGTGAATATAATGTCTATTCGACATTCCAATCGCATGAGCCTGAATTTGACTATCTCAAATCATTAGAAATTGAAGAAAAAATAAATAAAATACGATGGCTTAAGCGTAAAAATCCTGCCCACTTCCTGCTTTCAACGAACGATAAAACCGTTAAATTATGGAAAGTCAGCGAACGTGATAAGTCATTTGAAGGATATAATACAAAAGAAGAGAATGGGATATCTAAGGATCCACAAAATGTAACCGCCTTAAGAGTTCCTGCTGTGAAGAATATTCCACTAATGGTTGAAGCATCACCACGCCGTATTTTCGCCAATGCACATACCTATCACATAAACTCAATTAGTGTTAATTCTGATCAAGAAACATATTTGTCTGCTGATGATTTAAGAATCAACCTGTGGCACCTAGAAGTGACGGATCAGAGCTTTAATATAGTCGACATAAAGCCAACTAATATGGAAGAATTAACAGAAGTTATAACAGCGGCTGAATTTCATCCGACAGAGTGCAATGTGTTTGTGTACTCAAGCTCAAAGGGCACAATTCGTTTATGTGATATGCGATCATCAGCGCTGTGTGATAGGCACAGCAAGCAATTTGAGGAGCCGGAAAATCCAACGAACCGAAGTTTTTTCAGTGAGATCATTAGTTCGATAAGTGATGTGAAATTGAGTAATTCAGGACGTTATATGATCTCTAGAGATTATTTAAGTATTAAAGTGTGGGACTTACACATGGAAACAAAACCCATTGAAACTTATCCGGTAATAATAATAATTTATTATTTCTTTGTTTAAAAAAATAATTTTTAAATGATTTGCTATAGTAATATCAATTTATTCTATGTAATTTTAATCCAGTAGGTCCAAGAAAACAATCTCATAAAATTATGTATAACAAAACTAATATAATCGTATAGAATAGCGAAGATTAAGAGAGCACATGTAGGAATTAACAAAATAAATATGTTTTTAATTTTCCAATGTTTTTAAAATAAGAATAATTTAATAATATTTTATTTAAAATTAAATTAAATAAATAATGTTAGACATACTTACCTTAGACAAATCTTCGGTAAATACTTTCAATTACTAAATAAATAATATTGGATATAAATATTGCCTGTTTGTCTTAACTATGTATGTTGATATATATCTTCAACTCAATTTCCGATTATGCGGAATGCTTTAATTATAATATTTCTTATTATTATGTTATCAAATATAACATAAAGAGTATTGAAGATATTACTCCTCTTTTTTCATAATGCATACGTATCTTTAACTAAATTACCTATTCTATCCGCGAAATAATTCAGTTGCCTAATCAATTTTTTTTGACATATTTGTCATCTATTTTCCTAAAGTATTTGTGTCTTTAACCTAATCGAAAATATGGGAGATATTTTATTCAATAAATTATATTGAACATATATTTGTTTTTTTCTTAAGCATATCCATATTTAACTTAATTTTCGATTATCTACTAGAATGTTTTTTAAATAAAAAATTAATTATACAGTATTAATGATTATATATCATTTAAAAATAATTATTGAACATATTGCCCTTGTTTTTTTATTACACATACGCATCTTCACTCAATTATCGATTATCCGCGAAATATTTCATTTGCTAAATAATATTGATAAATAAATAAATGTTTGATAAATAATATTGAACGTATATTTCCTCTTTATTCCTTAGATTTGTATCTTTAATAGAATTATCGATTATTCGAGAACAATTTTAATTACTAAAAAATTATATCTTCGAATGAATTAGCGATTATCTGAAATATTTTTCCAATATAAAATGTGAAAATTTTATATTAATTATATATTAAACAAATAATTTATGTGTTTTCCATATTTTAAGTTTTTTTTTTTAATTAGAATATAAATAATTATTTTTTTTTTCTTATTAGGTGCATGAATATCTGCGTGCTAAACTCTGTTCTTTATACGAGAACGATTGCATTTTTGATAAATTCGAGTGTTGTTGGAATGGAAAAGACTCATCCATTATGACTGGCAGTTACAATAATTTTTTCCGAGTGTTTGACCGTAATTCAAGGAAAGATGTCACACTTGAAGCTTCACGTGACATTATTAAACCAAAAACGGTGTTAAAACCGCGCAAAGTATGCACTGGCAATAAGCGAAAAAAGGACGAGATTAGCGTTGATTGCCTCGATTTTAATAAAAAAATATTGCACACCGCCTGGCACCCACAAGAGAATGTTATAGCTGTAGCAGCAACCAATAATCTATTCATATTTCAGGATAAATTTTAGCTAAAAATATCGTTATATGTTTTTTCCTCATTAGTTTATGAATCATATAATGCGTATAATTTTTATCGTTATTTTATACTTTCCAAAATTTCATTTACAAATTATTTCAATATCTGTACACTTAAAAATTTTATAGAGATTAACATATTTATTATTTTACTATTTACATACTATTCTTTATTGTTTCTTAATTTTTACATTGTATAATTCTTTATTTAACAACAGACTCGTTTTGCATACACATTCATTGTAAATCACTATAAATTGGATTTCTTCTGCTGCTATTTAAATTTTATATAATTTTGAATGAATTTTCTATATTTTTAAATTTGAAACTATTTTTCGGTTTATATATATATATATGTTTTTTATTATTTCTATATTCTTAGTTTTAAACAAATATCTTGCAAGGAGCCATATTAAATGTTTCTCTGCTGTTATTTTTAGTAATTTTATTTTTTACAAAAGTACATTTAGTTGAGTTAATATAAGAAAAATAATAAAACAAGTTATAAAACGTTATTTAATATCAAATAATTATAATACTTAAAATGTTGTTATTAAAATCAAAGCTTAACGAAAATGAATATATAAAATTTGAATACAAATAATAAGAATTGTCATAATTTCCTTAATAGAAATTGCATATATGATAATAAAAGCTCAAAAATGTAAAATAATTGTTTACTTCATAACTTAATGACTTTATTATTTTTTTAAAGTTGTACAAACTTTTATTTACTGCTGCATACATTACATAATGTGTATTATAATACTATTAAAAAAGACTATACCTACGGTATCCCAATATTATCCTACAGCAAAGTCTGTAAATTTATTCAAAATTCTAAATAGTCATAGTTTAATGTAGTCTTTGCAGAGAACAAATAAAATGTTTAAGTTATTGTTATATAATTTTTTAACAATATTTTTATAAGCTCAGCAATTTAAAAAATTTTTTTATTTGAATATATCAAAAGATTACATTATGAAATTTTTCTCACTTTATTTATTGTTAAGAAATAAATAAGTTATGTTACAAAAAAAAAAAATAAAATAAAAAATAATATTTGTATTAAGGAAAAAGAAATCACGAGTCAATAAAAAGAAATTAATTCAGAGAAGCAATAGGTCAGTTTAGCTCTACTATTATTAAATTTTATTTTATGCGAATATAATGATTTTTAATTTATATCATCTTCGTGTTTTTTTTCTTTAAATTTAACTAGCCTTAAAAACTATATACTAAAACTAAACTTATTAATTTATAAATAATATACTCTGTTTAGGAAATATTAAAATATTTTTTGCTTACACATTTTGTACAAAAATAATGTAAATCATTTAAACAAAATCTAAATTTCAATGCATTTTAAAAAACAAATTAAAATAAAATTATTAATAAAATAATATAAAATTAACTTTTAAATAAAATGTTCTTTGCAACATTAAATTCTTAAAATAAAAAGAAAATTATTGAAACAATTTCGTAAATACAACCACAACATGCATTAAAAATTTAGAAAATAAAAAAACAAATCGTTCATTTATTTTGTTTGGATAATTTTTTAATTAATTTATAAATATAATATATATATATCATTTGTCGATATTTCGATTCAATTTATAAGTATTTAATGACAAATAAGTTGGTTAAATCTGTCATAAATCAAAAACAAAACAACAAAAAAATCACATTAATTTTCAAATATTATTTTTATAAGTTATAAAATATTTTACATTTAAATTTGTATACAAACTAATTTTAAAGTATAAACATAAATTTAAAATAAAATTAAGCTTATTATTAAATATAATAAAGTTTGATGAAAATCAGTGCTTCTTATTAGACAAGATATGATTTAAACAAAAAAAATACATTATCGAAAGTTAAAATGAAAGAATAGTTTTTAAATATAAAAATCATTATATCTAATAAATGAAATAAAACTTAAAATTAATTTAAAAACAGCAAAACTCGATAAAATGTTAAATTTTTTAAATAAAATATAAAATATCTAAAAATACATAAAATGTATTGTGAATTGTATTTTCTTTTGTTCAACTGTTTGAAAATTATTTTGATTAGTTTTACATTCTTTTTCATTATTTTTGAAACTTTACTGAGCAGACAATTTTTATAAAATAATATATAAGCAAGCATATGGTTTATATACTTGAGCTTCAAATATTATTCGAACTTATTGAATTTACGAGCACTTTTATGTTCGCGTATATTTGTACACTTGATTCGAATATAACAAATGGCTCCGACATGTTCGAACATTATATTGTAATCGTACATTTGCTATATGAGCTATACGCGCAGTTCAAACAATTTCGATTGGAACGAACAGCTTCAAAGTGTCTGAACATCGAACTCCTTGAATAGTTCTAATACATTCAGATTCGAATAGTTTAAATATTTGGAAATGCTTGAGCTATTCGAACAACAAATCTGCTTAACGTTTTATTCAATTTTGCTTTTGTTATATACAACTATGTATATGTTATGTTATTCTGTCCAACTTCATATTTCACTTCGTTCTTGTCTAGTTTTATGACATCAAATGTTCGAGCCTCATATAGTGTTCGAGCATATTGGACGGAATCGATGCACAGCCGCAGCAATGATCAAATACAATCATTTTCGAACATCAAATTGCTCGAGGCGTAGAATAGTTCGATTAATATTTGAAATCTTCGAATTCGAATATATTTGAGCTGTTTGAACATCATGTTGCTCGAACACTTTGAAGCACTATTATATACATATATGTGTAAAATATATTTGATATGTAGACATTATATCATATATATGTAATATATCATATATATGCTATTATATAATTTAAAAGATTTATTTATTGACTATATAATTTTGTTCATTTCTACCTTAATTAAAAAAAAACCTTTCTCTTAAAAAAAAGTAGTTAATGGCAACTCTATTGATAAATGCTATATACATTATAATATATATCTTAAATGAAAACCGTAAATGATTTGAAACAACGTATAGATAGTTAAAGAAATGCAGATCTAAGGGGGATAACTTGGTATTAAAATGATTTTTATAGTTAAAGTTAAATCGAAAAAATTAAGAGAATCAAAAGGTGTTTTCAAAATAGGATATAAGGAACAATAACAATAACAATATAAATAGCAACTTTCTACCTGTATTGAATTATGGGATCATTTAATTCGGACAAGAGCTATATTTTAGTAAATGCAGATTTTATAATTTTTTACTGAATTTAAAGAAAAAGTGCTAATATATAAAACATCTAATTACAAAGAAGAAGAATCTAATTTTTCAATACAGTTATAGGCGAGTCAGTAAAGTATATATACATATATATTTTCGCTACTGCTTAGTTTTTTAGAATTTTCATATACATTTTATTTTTAAATTATTTTATATAGTTATTTTCTAAATACACATTGCCAACAATTCAAAATTTGTTCAATTTTTTTATTCAAGACGAGGTGTTAGAACCAACTAAAGACGTAGTCAAACACACTTTAAAACGTTGGCGATATTTATATAGAAGTAAATGTGTGAAATTAATTACAATTACAAATTAATTATAATTAAAAATAGAACAGATTAATGAAATCACAGTTATAGTAATTAAAATGAATTATTTATTATAATCAGTTCAGTTTAAAAATTGTTCCAATCGAGAGCAGAGATAAAAACGTAATGTAAATCAAAATAATTAAAGACTCAAAACAGGAATAGTATAGGGAATAAAGAAATGTTTAAATCGATATATAATTCTAGTCTTTAACTAATTACTTATTCCATAACAATTAATTATTTTTGCTTCACGCTCTAACCACTTAAACTATCTAATTCTATTAATAATAAGTTTAAAAAATATTAGTACGATTTTGTGTCAGAATAATGATTATAATATTAGGGGTATTTAGGAATTTCTGTCATCAGACCAGATTAAGAGCTCTTCTCCAGATTTAGTTCTGGACTGAAATCTGGTACAATAGGGGTTTTCTGGTGGCAATACCGACTATAGTTTTAATAATAATAAAATGGGTGTATTTAGACCGACGTCTAATATTCGTATTATTCTTTTTAGTATTAAATAGTATTATTCGTTAATCATTGAAATATTAAACCATGTAAGTCTAAGTGCATTTTGCTAATTCTTTGTTAGTAGAATAAAAAGTTGACGTTCAAAGCAACTAATTTTTTCAGGGGTGAAGAAATGAAAAAACCAACAATTGAAAAGTGCTCATATGAGAATATTTAAATTAAAAAAAATCCATTATAACTTGTGTAAAATGGTCTGAAATATTTTAGGCAGTCTTTGAACCACAAACTCTTTCTCTCTCTCCGCCTTGTGTACGCCACTGGCTTGTTGTGTCAGTAATTTCGAATATCGTTAACTCGTGAATATATCACTATAACAAATTACTTTTACAATTTACCGAATATCGAGTTTGGTCGAAATTATCTCTAGTAATATTTTTATGGAAACTATACAGTACATAAATTGCTTTTGAATATTCTTTATGCTTGTAAAAATGCTTTGGAAATCAAAGCTATATATTAACAAAATATTACTTTTTCCAAATTAATGACTTAAAAAGATATATAAAGAAAATAATTAATTGTTTTAAATAACACTTCTTAGAGATTTTTGTGAGTGGAAGTAAATCGGATAGTAGGGAAGTACGACAAATTATGATATATAAATTTTGAAGTTTAATAATTTTTTAATAATAAAAATGGACTTACCAAAGCTAATATGGTTTAGCATGAAAAATAGATAGTTAGATATAAAATCTTTTATTGAATCTTAAAGCAGCAAATTTTCATAATAATCAGAAAATTCCTTTTATTTGGCATATATTTGTTTATTATATTGAGGATACCAAAAAAAAAAAACAATCTGATACACCATCCTATCTTATATGAAATAAATATTTTTCCAATATAATTTATAATTAAAATTTTTAGTAGTAACTAAAATATTTTTTATCATATATGTTTTTTTGTTTATTAAATATATAACTATGTTTGCAAATTTAAATTTATATTATTTAAATCGATCAATAAAAAATAACAATATATATATATATACATTTTATGTATTAATTAATAAATTTATCATTTTTAAATTAGCATTAAAATTTGATTTTTTTAGCGCATTAAGTAATATTGTATATAAATACACTACACATAAATAAACTCAGTTACATACATATATAATGCATATATAGATACATACTTTTACACAAAACACAAAATAAAATATTGAATAACAATTAATATATTGAATAATAATTAAAATATTGATAAAAATAATTTATAATTTTTAAAAAGAAGAGTAATTTTAAAAATAAAAATGCTATAAAAATATTAAGTTTTGCAAGCAAAATGTTGAAAGCATTATTGAAACTTAAAATATAATTGTTTTATTTTAATTTCTATAAATTGTAAGGTGAGTATTATTAAAAATTAATTCCGTAGACAAATAAAAAATATAAATAATTCATTTTATATATAACTTAGTATTTTCTAATAACGCAATATATATACAGAAAGTTCATTGCACTAAGAAATGAAAGAAAGTGTATGGAAGTGGTCAAACATTTTCAATCTCAACTATGAGGATATAGAGTTTATAGAGAATGTCAAAACCCCCATTTAAAAACCCTCATTATCTTAAAAATAGTTTATCCAAATAATTTAAATTATATTACAGTTTGAGGTCCATTAAATATTCTTTAAATGAAGATAATGAAGAAGATGAAGATGAAGAAGATAATATTTGTATTTCCTTCTCAGTGCTTAACTGCTTTATTCGTAAGCTAATCTGATTTCTAAACATGACATATCCAAAGCCTCCCGAAGGAGCGATTTTATGCTTTTACTGAACCACTTTAATAGACATTTAAGCCACGATATATTCCTTCAATTGTGCCCTCCATAATCAACTTAAGCAGATCATGATGTTGTGAATGCCTTACAGTATGTCTAAAGTCGTTTTATTCTGTCTGGTATTTTCTTCTTCATTCATACGTAAAAGCATCAACTAAATTTGTGAATTGTTTAATACAAAGAAAAATTTAAATCAATAAGTCGACGTAATAGAGGATACTTCCCTCTTGGCCAGTAATGAACTGTGAATTATTGGAACTTAAGACTATGATTAAGTATTCAATTGATGTAACAAGCCCAGTTGCACGAAAATGTCGCTTGTATGACTATATAATAAGAAGAAGAGAGGAAAAGAAGAGAAGGGAGATATAATGAGACCATTGTTGCTTGTATGGTCATATAAGAAGATAGAATATAGGAACATACTGTGAGACAATTGTTGCAGATGATAGTGATAAAAAAAGAAAAGTTGAGGAAGGTAGCTGGAAACTTGGAGAAATATCATTAAAGATACAAGGCATAAGTGTAAAGGAGATAACAACCCAGTACCATGTGACTTTAAGATACCGATTCAAAAAGAGCTAACTATATATTGGAGAAAGTTAGAAAAAGAAAGCGAAATAGATTTTAGCTTGCTATAAACTTGCAACATTCTTATATATCTTTGGGTTATTGTTCTAGATTTTCTGGATTGTTCTTATATATTTATTAATACAATTAATAATGCGTGTTTGTTTTTTTGTCATACTTTGTCTTTATCTACAGATCAGATATGTGCTGATTTGTACTCAAAAATCTTTTTTGGTTCGGGGGTAAACGTAGCATCTGCTGATTCTTAAGTGAAGCTACTATGAATTCAAGTAGAATTTAATAACAATTTTCGGACATAAAATATACACATGTGTATGTAGTAATTATTAGTCATTATTGACCATAATATTTCACATACGCAGGTTAAGTTATAGTAGTAAGTATGGTGATTCCAATTGTTTAATAACGTATATCGATCTATTTTATTATCATATATATCACGGAGATCTTAAATCATTTTAAACCTTTAATTTAGCATTAACAGGCTTTGAATTTTATTAAGTTTATTCGGAAAGTAAGTTCTATGCTGCACATGCTTTGAAATTATATGTATAGCACTTTTTTCATGTTTATAACAGCTTCGGCAAGATGCAAATTCACCATAAGAGTTATCTGTAAAGGGCGTATAAATGGGATTATTAGATTTTATCCTATTTGAATTTGACTAAGCTTCTGCAGAAAGTAAACGCTACACTGCACATACACTAAATAATGACAAAACATCTATAAAGCACTCTCTTCATCTTCAGTTGCGAGTTTCGGAAAGATGCTATCTCCTAACAATACTTTCAAACCGACAATTAGCCATCAATAAGACCACCACGCAGGATATCTCTGCGCTGCA